TCTCTGGGCCTGAGGTGGGGATGAGGGACCTGGAGCTGCGGCCTGAAGGCAGCCGTCGCTGGCCTTAATCACAGTGGTTGATCAGGGAGGGATGCGGGGTGCCAAATTCCCTCTCTCTCTCTCTCTGTCTCAGAGGGCCTCATGTCCGGGCTGGCGGGCGGGGCTCAGGCCCTGCTCACCATTGTATTGCTGCCTGCTCTGTTGCTGCTGAGGCGGTGGCAGGGACTGCTGACCTGGCCCAGGCCCCTGGCCAGCCTCCTGCGCCTGGACCCCAAGCAGCAGCGGAGCTTCCAGCAGCCAAAGCAGCAGCAGTAGCCAGCTGGGAGGCGGCGGCAGTGGTGGCCAGAGTCCCAGCTCCCCTCTGCCATGGCCCCGCCAGGAGCACCCTGGCACAAAGTTCCCAGCTCACGGCGCCAGCGGCTGGGGACTTCTTAGGTGCCTCCTCCTCCCCACCGCCCTCGCTTCATGAATCGCAAGTTTCCCCAGAGGCAGCGGCTGCAGGACGCAGAGCAGGAGTCAGGGGAGCAGGCTGAGTGTGGCTCGGGCTGGACAGAGGGCACCGGCGCAGAGCAGGGGGAGTTGCTGCCCCCTGGGGAGATCTCCTCCGCGTGCCAGTGCCCTCCATCAAGCCGGAGCCAGAGCCGCACTTGGCCCACTCCCCTGTCTCCCGCTCTGGGTCCTGCAGCCATCGCCTCCGCAGAAAATTGGGATTCATGAAGCGTGCACAGCTGGGAGAGCCGCGTGGCTCCAGTGCTCCAGGGTTGCCTCCTGCCTTCCTGGCCCTGGGCTGGATGGCTCCCGGCTGGCGGGCAGGGCTCATGCTAAGGCAAGCAATGCCGCCGATCCCCCGCCCACCCCCGGGTCGCACACAGGAGTGGGCCCCATGTCTCTGGTAGGCAGCGAAGCGATCGCCACCTCTTGCCTTGGCCCCAGCCCCCGCCCACCCCCCATCACACATGGGAGTGGGCCCCGTGTCTCTGGTAGGCGGGCGAAGTGATCAGGCACTGCTTGCCTTGGCCCCAGCCCCCGCCCACCCACGGATCACACATGGGAGTGGGCCCCCTGTCTCTGGTAGGCGGGGAAGCAATCGGCACTGCTTGCCTTGGCCCCAACCCCCGCCCACCCCCCAGGTCGCACACAGGAGTGGGCCCCCTGTCTCTGGTAGGCGGCCGAAGGGTTTGCCACCGCTTGCCTTGGCTCCAGCCCCCGCCCGCCTGCAGATTGCACAGGAGAGTGGGCCCCCTGTCTCCGGTGGGCGGGGGAGGGCTCCGGTGTAGTGATCAGCACCGCTTGCCTCGCCCTGCCCCATGGTTCAGGGGGGGGGGGGCCTAGATGGTGGCTTGCGCTGTCCTACCCTGCCTTCAGTATGCAAATTAGCCGCCATCTTTGTTAGCGGTTAACCACCATCTTAGTTGGCAGTTAATTTGCATATCGCCCTGATTAGCTATAGGGAAGGGTAGCGGTTGTACGCTAATTATCATGTTTCTCTTTTATTAGTTAGGATATGCTATGGCTCTAAGGGAAGTGCAAATTAAGTTGACAAGGAGAGACCCCTTCATCCCTACTAGGATGGCTATAAAAAAGACAGATGAGCCTGGCAGGTGTGACTCACTGGATGAGCATTGACCTGTGAACCAGGAGGTTATGGTTTGATTCCTGGTCAGGACACATGCCCAGGTTGTGGGCTTGATCCCCGTAGGGAGCATGCAGGAGGCAGCTGATCAATGATTCCCTCTCAGCATTGATGCTTTTATTTCTCCCTCTCCCATCCTCTCTGAAATCAATAAAAAAATATAAATAGAGCGACAGATGATAACAGGTGTTAGCAATGTTGTGGAGAACTTGGATCTCTCATATACAGCTGATAGGGATGTAAAATGGTGCAACTTCTTTGAATATCAGTTTGCAGATCCTCATAGAGTTACCATATAACTCAGCAATTCTATTTCTAGACTTATGCTTGAAAAGAAATTAAAACATGTTCATGCAAAACATGTGTGGCAATGTTCATAATAGCAAACTGTGGAAACAACCAAAATGTTCATGAACTGATCAATGGGCAAATAAATGAAGTATATCCATACATAGACTGTTGGGGACAACAAAGGGGCTCTGTAATAAATCAAACCAAAAATAACCTCACAGGATGATCTGATCCTAAAATTCTTAACTGGTAAGGTCATGGTGGGTAGTCATGCCTCATGCTTGTAAAAAGGTTTATCTGTGACTTAAGCAATCCTATCCGTTGTTTTTGTGCATCTATGTTAATAGACCTTTAAAATGTCAGATTAGTCCTCTTTTTCAGACTCCTCAGAGGCATAACTACCCTCAAGGGAGCACATAATCTTATCAACTATTGTGTAATCTTCCTTATGCTTCCTCCTTAATTCCAAATGTGTAAAAGAAACTGCAAAACAGCCATTCTCAGGAGCATTTTTGCTTCCTGGCATGTTGACTGTTTTGTTCAAATAACATCATGCAAAAATTGAGGTTAGTTGCTGTGGTTCAGTTGGTTGGCCATCATCCTCTGCACTGGGGGGTTGCTGGTTTAATTCCCCGTCAGGTCACATGCCCAGGTTGTGGGCTTGATCCCCAGTAGGGATCAGCAGGAGGCAGCTGATCAATGTTGCTCTCATATCGATGTCTCTCCCTCTTTCCCTCTCTCTCTCTTAAAAATAAATCTTTAAAATTCTCTATGGGTTTGAACATTTCTTATGTTGACACTATTACTCAGCAATACAAAGCTATCGCATGCATGAAACTCAAAAATATGCTAAGTGAAAGAAGCCACTTGCAAATATCATATGATTCTACTTGTCTGAAATATCCAGAATATGGTAATTTATAGGAAAGAGAGTAGATTAATGGTTGTGTAGGGCAGGGGGATGGGGAATGACTTCTAAGGCATATGAGATTTCTTTTTGGTCTGGTGAAAATTTCCTAATTTTAGATTATATTTCCAGTTTCATAACTCTATAACATACTACCTATATTTGTTGTTTATACATTAAACATTGAATTTTATGATATGTAAAATATATATTACTAGAGGCCCAGTGCATGAATTCATGCATGGGTGGATTGATCCAATGGTGGCTCTCTGGCTCAGTCTTAATCAGGGCAGGGCTGGCCTGGGGGACGGACCGCAGGAGGTTGGCTGTGGGATTGCACTGACCACCAGGAGGCAGCTCCTGCATTGAGCGTCTGCCCCCTGGGGGTCAGTGTGCATAATAACAACCAGTTGAATGGTCGATAGGTCTTAAAGGTCACTTAGGCTTTTATATATATAGATTGTAAAATATGTTAAAATAATGATAATAAAAATTATTTTTTAAAGTAGAAAGTTATTGTCGACGTAAGAACATCCAAACCTGTAGAGAATTTTTATGAGTTTATTTGAACCAAACTAATGACTAATGCTGGGAGCAAGATATCAAATGCCCCTAAGAATAACAGTTTTGTAGCTGCTTTTATGCATTTGAGATTAAGTGGAAACAAAGTAACATTACAGGAAGTTGGAGAAAGCAAAGCAGGGATTGGATTACAGGATACAGTTAATAAGATTTTGTGCTCTCTTGAGAGTTAATGTACCCCCTCCTTTAAAAAATACATATTTTTTGATTTCAGAGAGGGAGAGGGAGAGAGATAGAAACATCAATGACAAGAGAGAATCATTGATCAGCTGCCTCCCACACCCTCTCCCCCAACCCCCACTGGGTACCAAGCTCACAACTGCAACCTGGGCAAGTGCCCCGACTGGGAATCAAACTGTGACTTCCTGGTTTACAGTTCAATGCTCAACCACAGAGCCATGCCAGCCGGGCAGTGCCACTTTTGAGGGGTATTATTTCTGGTATTTGAAAGGAGTATTAACCTAGATGCACAAGAACAATGGGCAGGGCTGGTGTAAAAACTTTCAGTAAATAAGTTACAGGCCTGGAGCATGTCTACTCATCATGGCCTGCCTAGTTAGGAATTTATGATCAGATCACCCTGTGAAGTACTTTCCATGGAACCCCCTTATTTGTCCATAAGATTTATAGTTTCAGAAATGTTTGGCACTAAATTAAAATATTTTAGGCAACTCCTTGAATTCTTCATTCCGTCATTCTATGGGTTCTATCATATTTTTAAAAACGTGTCCTTGTAATGACCAGTATAACTTTGTGTATTCTTGTGTAGAAAATTGTTGCAGTCATTGCTTACCTGTTCAATCAGGTTAAATGCAACTGTGAAATTAATGTCTGGTTGAAAATAAAAGCAGATTTAAGATTGGTAAAATCATGTTAATAATTTCAAAATTAATCTCTCAATATGGGGTGAAACTTGTACTCATCATTGACAAAGGAATCTATAAATACAGTTAAAATTGTGGTACTCACGATGGGTCATTAATGACTGTTTTCAATGCATTGAGCAAATCTGCACTAGACATGGTGTTGAAGTCCATTCTGATAGCTGCTCCCTTGGTCTTCATGTGAGCAATGTTATCAGGTTGATCTGCAAACATAGGGATGCCCACCACAGGGATCCCATGGTAGATAGCCTCATAGATGCCATTGGTTCCTCCATGAGTTATAAAGGCTTTGGTTTTTGGATGACCTAGGATTGGGTGAATTTCAGTAAATTATTAATTATAAGTCTTAGAAATAAAATGAGAATTGGGCAAGAAAAGCACTCAGGCACTGTATTCTAGATGACAGATTATTATACACATGAACCTACATTAAAATCTATTTTAGATCTCAGAGAAAGAAGAACTTTAGTTGCTGAAGAGGTAAATAGATACTGGTATGGCATTGTGACATGAAAAATGAATACAAGATTGCTGGGTAGAAAAGTTGAAAGAGAACGTTCTGTGAGGCGCAGGTGCTGGGGGAGGGGGTCAATGGGAAAAAAGGGACGTCTGTAATACTTTCAACAATAAAGATAAATTTGAAGAAAAGAAAGAGAACATTATGGATAAAAAATAGCATGTGCAGAAAAAAAGGAAAAGAGAAAAGGAGGTGGCATGTTAGAACATATTCTCTTAAAGAAATAGTTTAGCCACGTGTGGGGTATTATGTGTGGGGCGTCCAGGCAGCAGGAAATGTGAGTGTGGTGACTCTGGAATCAGAGGAAGAACAGACCACACTTTATCACTTCATGAAAAAGATTATGGCTATTTCTTTATTGAAAATGGAGTCACTGGTAATAAATGAGGTGCTCTTATTTTTTAATGGCAATGAATGAATACCCATACAGAAGTGGAAAAAATAGAAATAAGGGGGAGAAGTAGGAGGCAGAGTGGTAGTTATTGAAAAATTCTTCATGAGAAGTAATTACACCTGAAATAAAGATATTTGATTTCAGACATAAGGGAGGAGATGGTCTATAATAACATGTTAGCTTTTATATGTTATCCTTTTTCCCCAGCACTGGCAAACAAATACAAGGAAATTAAGTTTGTTTTGAGTTTTTGTAAAATAAAGGCTCAATAAATTTGTTTCTTTTAGAAGTTATCACTCTCTTTGGAGTTACTGTTATTTTAGTGTTTGTTTTTCAGTCTCACCAAGAAGGTCATTCTGGGGGATCCACTTATAGAGCCGAGTATTTGGCCCTAAGGTTTCTGGTTTCTGGCCGTCAAATCTCCATAGAACCTGTTAAAATAAAGAAAATATTTTATTCCATGAGTTGAACTAAAGGTATAGCATGTTCAGATTATAAAGAAATTAAGAGATAATCTAGTTAAAGCCCTTCATAGATAGATAAAAAATAAGGACAAGAAATTAAAAATGAGAACTATTATAACACTGGTATGATAGAAATACCCACATTTTATGTATTTATTTTTACATTCAATCAAGTATGAATGCAATCATGATGTCCAACACATACAGGTATACTAATGAGATTATCAATGATGAATTGAAGTATTTAAAAAATCTTAGTCCTGGCCGGCATGGCTCAGTGATTGAGCTTGGACCCATGAACCAGGAGGTCACAGTTTCATTCCCAGTGAGGGCACATGCCAGGGTTGTGGGTATGTGGAAGGCAGCCAATCAATGATTCTCTCATCATTGATGTTTCTCTCTCTCTCTCTCCCTCTCCCTTCCTCTCTAAAATCAATAAAAATATATTTTAAAAAATTTAGTTCTAGTCATTTTAATTCTAGTGCAAAAAAGTAGGTATTTATTACACATCCTATCTAATGATAGACAAAGATTGAAATTGACCTTACCTTCGCTACACTTCCCATTGGCTAATCAGCGTGATATGCAAATTAACCGCTAAGAAAGATGGCAGCTAAATTGCATACTGCAGGCAGGGAGGGCCAGAGCGAGCTGCTATCCGGCCCCGTGTGCCGCCTAAGCCCCAATGCCAGCTGGGACCCCTGTGTGGGGCCCTGGGCGTTGGGGGGCTTGGCAGCGAGACCAAGCCGCCTAAGCCCCGCCCCCAGCCGGACACCCATGTGGGGCCCTGGGTGGGCGGGACCTCCGCAGCTGCAGTGTTCGGACCCAGGCCCCCAGCCTGACCTGGGCTCTGCTCAAGGAGGGGCTGGGGGCCTTGGGTTTACTAAACTTTACTGGAGTTGCTCCCCACACCCCCAGCCCCTGCCCCAAGAACCACGCTGCCCGCAGCAAGGTGCCCCGGCAGCGGTTGTGTCCTGACAGGTGGGTGGTGGGAAAGCTGAGTAGCATGGGGGCTGCATGGAGCCATGGAAGGGCGGGGACTGAAGGTAGAGGAACCTTTGGCAAAGTGGCCACCATGGGGTCTGCAGGCGCGCAGACAGGCCTCCTCCTGATGAGTGGATCCTGGGCAAGCGCCACGGCTTCGGGGAAGTGGCTGGCCAGGAGGCAGGCAGCCCAAGGGGCACAGAGCGGCGCCAAGGTGGGGTGCACTGGAGGGGGCTCAGGCTTGGGCAGGGTGCTGGCGGGCGGGGATCTGCCTCGCCCACAGAGAGCGAGGTTTTGTGGGGGAAAAAAGAGGCGATGACTGCAGGCGTGGAAGGACACCAGGGCAGAGGGGTGCAGACTCGCAGCCCTGAGGCGGGGGTGGAGGGCAGAGGGGTGCAGACTCGCAGCGCCACACTGCTGGGTACCCCAATGTAGCGGTTTAGTGGAGGAGCGCCACACTGCTGGGTACCCCAATGTAGCGGTTTGGTGAAGCTCCCGCCGCGGCTTGAACACTTGAGAGGCCAGGACTCCTGCTCTTGCCTTGGCCCAAAAACAAGCCTGCACCCGCCCCGCCCCCAGTTCTCGCCCTGCCCCATGGGGGTGCACACCTGCACAGTGAGTGCAAGCCTACCACCTGTTCCCCTGAAGGGGGGGCAGTAAAGAATGGGGTGGGAGTGGGGGGAGGAAAGAATGTGGAGCATCCATGATGAAGAGGTGCTTGAGAATGAGGCTTGGAAGCCTCATGCAGAGGTTTGTTCTGTTTGCCCTGCGGCTGTCCCTTAGGAAAGGTGGAGAGCCGGCTATGAGGGCTCCCTGCGCGAGGAGTCCAGTTCCATAGCCAACTGGAATTGGCCTCAGTTTCCTGGTCTGTAAAATGGATTAAGCGTGTCCCAGTGCCTTCACTGAGCTTTGAGGGCCAATTGAGATACTATATAAAGAAAATGAGGGAAGACATGAGAAAGAAAAGGAAGGGCAGGCAACACAAAATAAAGATAGGAAGGAACCTGTAAACCTATTGTCACATAAATAGGGAATAGAGTCAATAGTGTTGTAATGACGGTATGAAGCCAGGTGGGTACTGGAAATATCAGGGAACACTTTGTAAAGTATATGATTGCCTAACCACTATTCTGTAATTAATAAACCTGAAACTAATACAAAATAATATTGAATGTAAATAAATGAAAATAGGAGTGAAATTTTTCTAAATTTCAAAGTTTAAATAAAGGCTGTAAAGGAAGGAAGGAGGAGAATAAAAATAGTGTTTTTCATTTTACCACTTTATTGTCTTTTCAGTACATGAAAAAGACAGTTGTCCTTATATGGTGCTTTTATGCTTTTCTAAGTCATTATCTCATTTGATGTTCAGGGCAACTTAAAGACAAGATAATTATTCCCTCCATTATTCAAAGAAAAGAAATCTTTGTGCCTGGCCCCAGTGATTCAATCGTCAAGCCCTTATTGTAAAGCACTGTTAGTGAAATTTTCTGTGAAGGGTCATATCTATACTAATAAAAGCCTTGGGGGTGATCTGGCCAACAGGGGAGGGCAGTTGGGGATGATCAGGCTGGCAGGGGAGTAGTTAGGCGTCAATCAGGCTGGCAGGGGGCTGTTAGGAGGCAATCAGGCTGGCAGGCTGAAGCAGTTAGAGGCAATCAGGCAGGCATGCAGGCGAGTGGTTAGGAGACAGCAGTCCAGGATTGTGAGAGGGATGTCCAACTGCCAGTTTAGGCCCGATCCCAGCGGTTGGACATCCTGGGATCAGGCCTGCCAGACATCCAGGGACATCCTGGGATCAGGCCTGTTGGACATCCTGGGATCAGGCCTAAACCAGCAGTTGACATCCCCCAAAGGTACTGAGATTGGAGAGGGTGCAGGCTGGTCTGAGGGACACCCTCCTCCCATGCACGAATTTCGTGCACTGGGCCACTAGTATATATATATGTATGTATAAAGATTAATGATTTTATAACTCCAATATTTATTTCCACTATAATCTTGTTTTTTTAATTCTTTATTATTTAAAGTATTACATATAGCTCCTTTTCCCCCATTGGCCTCTCTCTGGTCACCCCCCCCCGCCCCCCACCTCACAAGCCCTCAACCCCTTAGTGTCTGTGTCCATTGGTTATGCTCATATGCATGCATGCAAGTCCTTTGGTTGATCTCTTACACCCCTCCTCATTGCCTTCCCTTTGAAGTTTGCTGGCCTGTTTGGTGTTTCCCTGTCTCTGCATCTATTTTTGTTCATCAGTTTATGTTTTTTATTATATTCCACAAATGAGTGAGATCATGTGATATTTATTTTTCTCTGACTGGCTTATTTCGCTTAGCATAATGCTCTCCAGTTCCATCCATGATGTTGCAAATGGTAAGAGTTCTTTCTTTTTTACAGCAGTGTAGTATTCCATTATGTAAATGTACAACAGATTTTCAATCCACTCATCTGCTGATGAGCACTTACGTTGTTTCCAAATCTTAGCTATTACAAATTGTGCTGCTGTGAACATAAGGGTGCATATGTCCTTTCTGATTGGTGTTTCTGATTTCTTGGGATATATTCCTAGAAGTGGGATCACTGGGCCAAATGGGAACTCCATTTTTAATTTTTTGAGGAAACTCCATACTGTTCTTCACAGTGGCTGCACAAGGGTTCCTTTTTCTCCACATCCTCACCAGCATTTGTCGTTTGTCCATTTGTTGATGATAGGCCTTCTGACAGGTGTGAGATGGTATCTCATTGTCGTTTTGATTTGCATCTCTTAAATGATTAGTGACTTTGAGCATGTTTTCAAATGTTTCTTGGTCTTCTGTATGTCCACTTTTAAAAGGTGTCTATTTAGTAGTAAGTCCTTTGCCCATTTTTTTTTGTTTATCTTCCTTTTGATAAGATGTATGAGTTTCCCATAAATTTTGGAGATTAGGTCCTGGTAGGATATAACATTG